ATGGACAGAGCCAGCTGCAGCTGCTCTCCCGCACCCCAGGACATGAGCAGAGAGCAGAGCTGGTACTACTACCCAAAATATAATCTTGCATGCAAATCTACTGAGGGAGCCAGATCAACACATATATATTCTGTGCTTTTTCAACCTTCCTGCATTTTAGAAGTGTTTCCAGTTTCTTCCGCTCAAGACTTTAATTAGTATTTTGAGGTTTTTGTTTTGTTTTTTAAAGGCCAAGTTGAAACAGACTGCATTAGCTATCTTCCCCCTGAGAGTAATTAAAAAAAAAATTGCAATGTTGCACAAGTTACTGAAATACAGAGACGTTAACTTGATGCCCATATAATTTCTCTTAATGCAGCATATAGTTCTGGATTGGTGTACCTACGTTTCAGCCCCTTTTCCTGCAGAGCACTGCTTTCCATCTTTTCTTTTTGTGGATACCTAAAACAACTTGTATGCAAACGCAAATACCAGCATAACAAATTTTAAAATCTACTGATAACCACCTTGTTTTATAAGCTGCCTTCTGAAGACCACTTCAAAGTAGACACAAAGACACCCTGGCTCTCAGTTCTGAGGTTCTCCTGCCACTAGCTGAACATCACTAAAGACATTATCTAAGGCAATCATTACAACACATTAGAATTGTAAAAGTTACCGACAAGTAAATTTTTTTTACCAGCTTATTTACAAATACCCACCTCCCACTCATATTTGTCAGGCATCAAGTTTTTTAATTTCTTCCACACCAGGAAAAAAAACTGTTTTCTTTCCCTCATACCTCCGTATCTCAAACACCCAACAATATTTATGTTTAAACCTTCCAGAGAACTGATGCAGAAAAACAGACAAAGCAGGATGATTCCAGCTTGCAAGAGTTGTTTGTTTTTAATTATCCTTTCAAATAAGTTGAAGGACCTTTATAATGGAAACACTAAGCGAGCAAGTCTGGCAGTGAGATAGGCAGGGCAAATAAACACTTCACTTCCATATCTCTCTTTAATGATCCCTTCTGCAAACACTCACAGAAAGATCATCTCAACATGTGAGATGATCAAATGAATAGTCTAGTTAAGTAGGTCTTGCCCAGTATTAACTGAATTATTAAATTCAAACTGACTACTTGTATAAAAAGAAGGTCTGAAGAATAATCTGTTTGTCATGTCCTATTTAAGTTTTTCAGTTAATGAAAATCAATTGAGATTTTAACTCACCAAAAAGGACTTGTTTACCTTAAAGCACAGGATGTCCAAGAGTAGCTTTTGCAATAAACTAAGATTAAGTATGGTTTTTTCCAGGATAGTTCTGTACTATTTCAAATTTTAAGTATTTTTACAATTTTAATATAAAAGCTACTTACTTTAATTCATTGTTCAGCTGCTTCTCCTTATCATTATATAAGCAATTATGTTTTACCATCTTAAGAGCTGAAATCAACTGGACTTGCCTACTGATAAGTCACGAGTGGCTTATTGAAGTAACACCAGCAAAAATTTATCTTTATGGTATAAGCGAGTGGCACATGGGCTGAAGGACCCGTATTCTTCACAACAACAAAAATGTAATTGTTTCCCAGCTGGTACTGGTGTGTTCACACAGGCCTCAGGATTTAACAACTGAACATACATAAAAGTGAAATGGAAGTGTTATTGATTGTCATTTTCTTTATGAACATCATCATTTTAAGATAAAAAGCATAAACTTCACATTCACCATGTGGTTCATCTGAGATAGTCTCTCTCCCCTTCAGGCCAGAACATCTAATTTGACTTCCTTTGTGATGCAGTCCACATGGTTTACATGATTACCCTTACGTTTTGGTTCAGGAAACTGGGTTCAATACATCTTTCAAGAAAAATCAGACTTAAACATGTCCAAAGACAGCAAAAACTCCACACCTACCCGGACAGCTTGTTCCAAGAGTTGGCCCCCTTAACAGTTAAAAAGCTGTGGTGTATTTCTAAGCTGAACTGTCCTCTTGTCTTTCAGATACGGCACCTCTGCTGAATTCGAGTCACCTTGTACTCTATGTTCAGGTCATGAAGGTACCTATATACCTATTTTGACTAAACTGAGCTCTATCTCACTGTAAAGCACTTTCTCAAAAGCTTGACTTTTGTGACTCTCTTCTGTAGTCCTACCAGTATTGCAGTGTCCATTTAAAAAAAAAATAAAGACAAAATAACTGTTAATAATGTTCCAGTATGAGCCACACCAAATCCATGTGCAGCATCTTCTCTTATTCCTACTCTTTAATATCTAATTTGATAGGTCAATGGGCATCAATAGCACGTTTCCTACAACACTGAACAGTAAGCTTCTGTCCAGCTGCACGTCTGTTTTGATACCTCATCCCTTCCCAGAGTCACTGCTTTGCAGAGACATTTCCCATTCCAGATGTGTAACAAGGCATTTGCCTGAATTAAGAACACATTTTGTTCGAGTTAGCTCACTGTCCAGAGCAACGCAAGTCACTCATCTTGCAGATCTATGACCAATGGTTGTGATTTCTGGGTAGCCCTGAGGCCAACACCAATACCTAAAAACAAATAAATCAAAGCACCACCTTCTTTCAAGTAAGCAATCCCAGGTAATTACTTTTCAAACCCACATGGCAATTAATTCCCACTCTGAAATAAGATTTTAGTCTTATGCTTACCTGCTTGATACTGTTTTTGTGACAGGTAGAAAACACACTTTAGCTTACCTACTGAAGAATGGGTAGGAAAGATCTCTGTTCAGAGCTTATACAAGAGACATTTTACAACTGCAGATATATTGGAGATACCAGTGACAACCAAACGTTTACTAAGAAAATAAAACAATCAGTGATTTGAAAACCAAAACCAAAACATCATACCTCTGCAAGATCCTCAAAGCAGCTGCCAGCCAGTGGATGAGGACTGCTTTCATCAGTCATTTCAACAGTATCCTCAATCAATCCTAAAAGCTTCACTGTCAACTCATGAATATCTGAAATGTTGCTAAATATCATATCGATATCCTGCAAGGAAAAAACAGATCTTAGTAGCGTTTAGAATAATTTATTGTGCTTATGTAAATATCGGAGCATTTTTTGTGAAGTCTGTACCAAGAGGTAGATGGAGAGGAGCCAACAAAAGCTAGGAAGAAAGTTAAATTTCATGGTCTTCCCAGCCTTGCAGGCTTGCCTGGACACATCCATCCTTGCACAATTCCCACCCCAGTGAAGAAAGCACGTCATCCTTCCCAGGCCGGAGCAGCAGCGGTCCCGTACAGGCTGCTCACTGCTTTGGACAGAGATGCCCGGTCTTTTCAGTCACAATTCACAGCTGCTATTTTCCCCTCTGATGATTCTTGTCTCTCAGGACCCAAACAGAAGGAGGCAATTTAAAGCAGCTCCAAGGTCAGATCCTCTAAACCACAGGTAAAACTAAAGCGACTACTTTAGCAGAGAACTACCTGGGTACAGAGGAGGAATCGGCCGTTTCCTTTTCATAGGATCATGGAATGGTTTGGATTGGAAGGGACCTCAAAGCTCATCCAGTTCCAACCCCCCTGCCAGCAGCAGGGACACCTTCCACTAGACCAGGTTGCTCAAAGCCTCATCCAGCCTGGCCTTCAACACTTCCAGGGAGGGGGCATCTACAACTTCCTTGGCCAACCTGTTCCAGTGTCTCACCACCCTCACAGTGAAGAACTTCTTCCTAATATCTCATCTAAACCTCCCCTCTTTCAGTTTAAACCCATTTCCCCTTGTTCTGTCATTAACTGCCCTTATGAAAAGTCCTTCCCCAGCTTTCTTGTAAGCCCCAAGAAGCGACAGGACTTGGGGGTTTCACACGTGCCCAGCGTGTCGCTGAGCCCCACAGCCCCACAGCCCTGCTCTAACCAGGACACCTGACCCAGCCTGCTGTTTGCCGCCCAGTTTTCCTTCTCTGAACAAACTCCTGTTGAATTACGTCACGTCTCCAACGTACTGTTGGGAGGACAAACTTGCACGTGTTACATTTAAAGACAAATCCTAAACCTGCGTTATTGGGCATCAGGTTGACAGTCGTGGGAACCAGTGATCTCAAAATACCTCATACCTGTTCCCGTGTAACAAAAGGATATTCCTCAGCTCCAAAACATTGCTCCCTTCTCCTCCCATAACTTTTGTTTGAATCCTGTCCCCAGGATTGCACAATTCTCCGATATCCCAGCAGCTATTGAGGAACCTCCACACCCAGCTGTACTGGGAATGTCTCCTGCTGCCTCTCTTTATAACCTGCTGATATCACTTAAGAATCCCAGTTCAGGCTCTGCTGCCCTGGTCCCCTTTCCCTTCCTTCCACCAGGAAGGATTCACTAATCTCTCATTATTGCTTCTTCTCTTACAAGACCTGTGCTTCCTTTTTAGACTCCAGCATCCTGAAAACAGAATTTGCCATATATACCATTTCAAACAAATATTTCAATCATTTATCAAATAGAGATTCCCTTCAGTGTCAGCCACACCCTAGAGAATCCAGAGTAAAGGGTTGTTTTACTTGTACTTTCTGCAGATAGGGGTGCCCTGGGGTAGACTTCAAATGTCAATTCAAGCATTCACTGTACATGTGGATAGATAACTCTTAATTTTTGTGTTAAGTAAAAGTGTAAGTATTACCTACATGACCAAAGGACTCCAGCTATCGCTGGCATCCGACAGGGAATCGCGTCCATTAAGCTTCACACCGAGAGTAGCTCTCTTCATACCATTAATGGCAATTCTGCCGTTTTATTTCATAGTCAACACTCATCATGCACTGACATACAATAAATCAAATTTAATTTCATCTCCAACACAGGGAATGTAATGTTGCTATGTTATGGCTGCTAATGGAGCGACTAGCATTACACATCAATAACCTATTAAAGGACTTACATTAGGTGTGAACAGTTTTCTGTTTGATAGGAAAGCTTCTCGAAATACTTTTATTATCAGATTCAACTCCCGCAGATACTGCCTTTCTTCTGCAATTTCATTTCTCACTAGGTCATAGTAGTTGAGTTCCCCAGAAGAAGAGGGCTCGTCTTCACAGAGAGAAACCAAACCAATGTCATCCTGATCAAACATATCCATCAAAACCTAGCAAAGAAATTTAAAAATTACAGGCAAGCCTGATTTACACTTGGCTCAAGCTCAGCCATTTCAACGTGTTCAGAGAAATCCTTTGAGTTTTTAATACAATACTTTCTGTGATCACTTTCACAAGGGAGTAATATTTAAACTTTGGCAGCAGAAGGCTGGATCAGTTGCCAAAGCCATTTTCCCTTTTACAAGTTAGTACGACCTAGAAAACAAGTTACAATTCATGCAGAACCAACTTTGAAAACAAGGCATCTTGCATAAGCCTTTGACAAAACCCTCCTGATAAAGATAAAATTCAACAAAAATGTTTCTCATTTTTATGAGGATGAAAACTAAATGTCTTTTCTGTATTATAAAGAAGGAAAGAGCTGTCATGACAAAACAACATCAAGAGGACAGTAACACAGCTGAGAAATAAAGGACAACATCATTTTCTGTTCTTACATTGTTTTGTAAGTACTACCACTGTTCCAAAACTTAAGTCTTTGCTGTGACAGGTCTGGCATGAATAAGGGGGGAAGCTTCTGCATTTGAGTAAGACCAGTCTCTCCCTCCTATCCTGCTTTAGATACATCTTCTAAAAAAACCCCCCAAAATCACCTCTACTGTCTACCTTTGTATCTGTCCAAAAGAGTATTTTAATCCCAACTCCTTACCTTATCAGCACACATTGATACTTTAATGTCCTGCTGGGAGATCTCAAAGTGCCGTATATTAAAAACATAGTTTCCAGCCAGCTTTAAAATATCAGCTGAGATGTATTCTAAGACAGCCACAATATACAGAGACACATGGTAATCTACCTTATAACCCAGGACCTCCTGCAAATTGAAAACAAGACAAAAAAAAAGCTATTTATTCCAGAAATTAATTCGGAATGACAATTAACACATTGAGTTTTCTACTGAAATTGATCTTGTGTGTGTTGGAAATTTACAGTAATGTAATAGGCAGGGCAAAGAACATAAAATGGAAATGTGATTAGCCACCTCCAAGGAAGTGCTTGCCAATAATTCCTTGTGCTATTTTGACATATACTGACAGATAAAAGCTACAGCGCTTTCAATAATCCTTCCTCAAAAAATGACAGTCCTAAAAACAGTGTTCCTTCAAGGAAGGGACTTCACTGGTGCCACTCTTGTGCTTCAGTTTCAGTCCATATCTATGCTTATCACAGGACTCTGGCCCTAAACAGGACTCTTAAGAAAAGAACATGCTTCATTTTGTAACATCCTTGATGGAAAAAGTCGTCTTTCATGAAACTACAGACCGTATGTTCAACCTGTTATGTACTGCAATCCAGTTTAGTCCATCCTTTACATTTGGCAGAAGAACTAAGCTATCTGCATCCTTGCATAAAATAATTAAACTTCAATAGTTAAAGTCTGAACAGAAAAAAAACCCAAAACAAAACAGGATGAATATTTCACGTTCTTCTTGTGATACATGTTCCACGTTCTGCAGAGTGTGCACCACGTGGCCTCTTATTTGTGACAGGTCCGTATGGAATAAATACAGGTAAGTCCATGCATTTGAATAAGGCACTCTGGTTCTTATCACATTCTGATGCATCTTCTAAAAATCAAATTCTGTACCTACGCCCACACACTTCTAAACCAGACTTCATAAAAGAACACCAGTCTAAGAAGGTCTTATTTGATGCTGTTTTCTTTCCTAACATCTATTTTCCTCTCATTAACCATCACAAATTGGGATATTGTATATAAGAACACAGTGACTACACTTGAAAAAGTGTTTTAATTTCTGCTCAGGCTTGAATAATATTTTCTCAATGCCACCGCTGGACAAAAGGATTTTTTTTAAGCTATGAATGAAAAGCAAAAGTAATAGAAAATGAAAAACCAAAAAAGAGCTGTGTTTGAATCAGCCTGAATCTACTGATTCAGCACTGATGTAAAAGTGATTAAACACTGATCTAAAAATCAGAACACTGTTTTATCATTAAAAAATGATTTTAATCAGGGGGCACAGTATGAATACATGCTTACTGTGTGACACTAAATCCTGGCAGTAAGCAAGGAGCTCTCTACCTGTTCAAAGTGACATGACATCTAAGAAGCGAGATGGCCATTCTCCTCCTCAAAACCCACCAACAATAAAGTCTGTATCTGGTCTTTTGTTACACCTTTGCAGATCTATTGATTTTAAAACCACAGCATCAGTGACATACAACTGAAAGGACTTTGATACACATCTTAGTTGACAGTATACAAGGAATGGGATCTACTTGTTCTCTCTTCTTCAGTTCTGGCTTCTGCAGCATTTTGAAACAATAAATAAAGGCATCAAAACAGCGCTAGTGAAGTAGGTATTTGAGTTTGTTTGGGTTTTATTTATGTTAAAAACTAACCAGTCATATTTCAAAGTAGAGTAGTAATACATTAACACACTGATGTCTCAAACATGATGAATTTAGGGATCTACATTTATTACATCCTACAATATATTCATCCTGTTCTATGGTGACTCTTTCATCTTTCAGCCACTATGAGAAACTTACCTGATTTCACACAAATTAAAGAAATACTTTAAAGGTTATGCTGGGGGCAATAATCCAGCTGGGGGTGTGTGGTGGGCAGAAGCAGCAGTCATCAGGTTATTGGTTTAAGTACCTTTAATAAAGGATGTATTTTGTCCACAGGTAGCAGGAGAGGGTTTCTTCTTTTTCGTTTCTCTATAGCAGACTGCGCATCAGCAATCGCCCACTTGTCTATTGGATGAGGAAATGTCTTTTGAACACGCTCCTGTCCAAATATAAAGAGTGCACTTAGATTAACTGCTGTAATCAAAAAGAAGTTTTAAAAAAAACCCAAACCAGTAAGTTACTTCCCCTGCAGTATAGACAATTATCCTCCTCCTCAGTGTTTGCAACACATTCTCCTAACTGTTCTCTCCTTCTTACTCAACTCAGCTTCACTCTTTTCAAAAATCCCAAACAACCTCCCTTCCCTAAGCACGAAAAACTCCTTCAAATCTCCTACAACAACTCCTGCTCTATGATCTTCACATCAGAAGAGCAGCAAGAAACCTCAGCTGAGACCAGGAGCCCAAAATATAAACAACATCAGGAAGTATTAAACAGTTTACAGTCTAAATGAATAAAAAACCCCACAAGTCGGTATTGTTCCTATGTCATAAGAGTGCAACTTGCCCTACATCAGATTAAGTTTCTGGCAGAAATGAGAAACAAGTGCAGCATCTTTGTAACTAGAAGGAGGGCTGTGATTCATGAAAAAGCCCAGCTGTAACACTTTGGAGCCCACAAGCCCACACAGGAGCATCCTCCCCGCTGCACAGCCAGTCACAGTGGCTGCAGTTTACAGCCATGATAAACTGTGTGTAATTTCAGGTCATTTTTATGCAGATTCACATTTCAACAACTGTGTCCTGGTTTTTGCCAGGACAGGGTTAATTTTCTCCTTAGCAGCCAGAAAGTGCTGTGTTTTGGTTCCAGTGGGGATTGTTATGAGAACAATGTTGATAACTAGGAGGACACTGAGCTTGGGCAGTTTGCAAGAGCAGAGAACTGGAAGGGGGAGTGGAAAAGAAAAGTGTCGTAGTTGGTAAAATCCAGAATTGACAGTGGGATGTGCCAGTGAGATATTCCAGATCATACCCCATCATGTTCAGTATATGAACTGGGATTGACTGGAAAGGGGGGGGGATTCTCTCAGGAATCACTCGGGCTCTCACTTTTCCAGGATTGTGATTTTGGTTTCAAGGTTCCTTTTTGCTCCTCCGGGATCATTATCAGCGGGTGGTGAGCAACTGTCCTCTGCATCACTCATAGATGGATATATATAGTTATCATTATTATTCTTATTAGTATTACTATTTTAATTTTATTTTACTCTAATTATTAAATTGTTCTTATCTCAACCTACAAGTCTCCTGACCTTGACCCCTCCAATCCTCTCCCTGATTCCCTGGGTGGGGGGGGCTGCGAGTGGCTGTGTCTTGTTTGGCTGCCAGCTCAGTTAAACTATCACACTACAGGAACAGGCAAGATGACCCCACCAGAGAATAAACTGCTTTGGGCAGCAGTTCCACACTTCAGCAGCCCACAGCTAATCACGTGCAAGATCCCAGAACTGCTTTCCATGAAGTTCTCCAGGCTTTCTGCTGCAGCCCCTGTGAGCTGGGGAATTCAATGCTGAAAGAACGAGTCTAAGCTGAACTCTGATGACTGCTTAAGTGACTTTGGAGATACAGATTTTTTTAAGTTAGATACTCAGGGGGGAGCAGCGATCACCTCTGGTTGCACAGTCCACTGCCGTGCCCTTACCCCACCCAGCCTTCCCAACCAGGCACAGTATGTGATGCTGTGCCAGACCTGATCTCTACTTTGGACCTGTACCCTGGGCCACAGCGATGCCTGGATGGGTGATAACTCTCAGAGGAGATTTTATAGGTGAGCTGAAGAATGAGCTGAGAAAAATGGTGAAATCTATGTGTCCCTTTGATAAAAAGATTTTTGCACTTATTTCAAATTTCAAAGGAGGCCTGAGGTCATCTTAAGAGGCACCTTTTAAATATCTGCAGGTGACCATTTAATGCTCAGCTTTCCACATCAGCTGTCTGCGCCAGGTAAACACACGGTAACCTTTCCTCTTGGACAGCAGCCGAAAGCTCTGGGCTGGTTCACTGAAATGAACTTTCCTTGAGATTCTACCAGGAGAGATCACCTGCAAAATGGACCTAACGCAGCACTGAGCTGTCCTTCAATTTAACAGCGCGCTTCACGCGTCACACGTGCCTCTTGTGTTTGGACTTTACTGGTTCCCAGTGTTTTCTTCCTAAGAATTTTAACTTCTTTTTTTTCTATTTATAAAACCTTTATAGTTTGCGACTTTGGACCTTGATCTTGCAAATACTTAAGTACAGTATTATGCACAGATCATAGAATCATAGAATGGTTTGGGTTGGAAGGGACCCTAAAGCTCATCCAGTTCCAACCCCCCTGCCATCAGCAGGGACACCTTCCACTAGACCAGGTTGCTCAAAGCCTCATCCAACCTGGCCTTCAACACTTCCAGGGAGGAGCAGCCACAGCTTCTCTGGGCAACTTGGGACACTGGCTCACCACCCTCACAGTGAAGAACTTCTTCCTAATATCTCATCTAAACCTCCCGTCTTTCAGTTTAAACCCATTTCCCCTTGTTTTGTCATTAACTGCCCTTAGGAAAAGTCCTTCCCCAAATAGTTGCATTAACTCCAGGTTGTTACATAAATATCTGCACAATAAATTTTAGAGATCACAGCTCTCATGTTTTCTCTTAACAGCTAAAAACAGCTGAGGAGCAGAGCCAAAAGCCTTCATTTGTGGATGTTAAATGCCTGCTGGCAGCACAATTTCACCAACAACCCACAGCACAAAACTGAATTCTACTTTCCCTTCTCTGGAAGAGTCTGAATTTATTCACCTACAGAACAATAACATTTTGGGGAACCTGTTACCACTATTTAGTCCCAGCTCTCTGTTTTTAAATTAAGTAATTGTGATATTGCCAAGTGCAACAATGTTTTATTATTCAGAGCTTTAAAATTCCAGGTATAATTAAAATACAATACACAGGATTTAGCGTTATCTGTGATATTTGTAACCACAATTCAAAGAGTGGTAAGTTATCTCCGAAGGCTGCCTGCATCGTGTGCAGTTCTGTACACATTAATTTGTGGAACATACATGTACCCAGTGAAAATTCATACATACAATTTAATTTTATCATCTCATAACCCAGAAGCAGAAAACTATGGAGTTGGTGTGGTGAGAGAGTGGTTAGAACTCTCAAACTGTCCCGTGTGCTGAAGGGTTTGATCAGCCAGGAACTGGAGAAAGAACATGGAATTTCTCGCTCCACATACCTTGTTCAAATCCAAGCTCGAGGTAGTAACAATCCTGAGAGCTCTTAAGGGACTATTAATTTCTGCTTTTATTTAGTCATACTATAATTTTTATGCATCGATATTCCAAAATACATTAATAATAAAACCAAAATTATTAATTAATTAATTAACTCAGTGTTGAATAAAGGGCGACTGCTGCATCTAATAAGAATCTCAAACCCCTCAGGTGATTATTTTGTAAATATAAGTTGGGTTGTTTTTTTTAATTTCCACAACACACATATAGACTATTAGGTAAGAACTTCATTTTAGTTTAGGCTGAAAATCCTAGACACACAGATTGATGTAAAATTAATACTCTACAGAGCTATAATGGGTCACAGCTACATGAAAGCACTTTCTCCCTCTAGACTGTATACTGGAGCACACTCCATTAAAGCCCTCATTTTGTAACCGATGACACAAAAGCAGACAGCTGCAATAATACAAGAGCCTCAGTGAGTTCAATAAAGTTCCAGGAACATACAACTCTATTCCCTCAGCTGCACGAGCCAGGCCTAACAACAGCAACCTTTCATTCTCATATTTACTTTTTTTTCCTGTATATTTATGTCAAACAGTAGGAAAACTCGCAACATCCTTTCATTCTTAAGTCCAAGGTGTATTTGAGCAGCAGAAAATCCTTCAAACTATTCTGCATTTATAAAAATAATGCTGAAAGAAACACTTCCCATCATTTCTATTCTGAAGTCCTGTATAGGAAAATGAGTTTCCAATTAAACTTGCTTTGTGAAATCTGAACACTAGATAATCTTTTAGCATGACCAGGCTCTGCTCTTCAGATTCATCTTGCTTTAACTTCAGCCTGAACTGCTCAAAATACCTTAGTTCATCTTAGAGATTCTGCATTTGGTTTTCCAATATCTAATCTTACCTCTACATCTTGGACAGTCCGTGGCTGAGCAATGCATAGTTTGTTTAGCAGCTGAAGTATTAACTCTTCAATGTAATAGAGGGAATCTTCTTTTGCTGAAAGGTTTGGGTGAACCTGTTGCTGAACCTGTCCAAAAGAATTAAAAGAATGAATAAAAGGGGGTTTTCCCTCCCCCCCCCATTTAAAGTTGTACAGAAGGAAGAATCAGAAAAAAGCAGAGAACCTCTGTACTGTAGTGCTGCAAATCCGCACACTTCAGTAACTCCTCACAAGTTTTCCTATGTAATTAAGATGGCAATTCCTATCCCTGCAAAGTTGGCATCTCTATTAAATTAAAAACTAAGTGTTTGGTTTTTATAGTGGGGAAGAAATTTCAAGCCAAGGCAGATCTCTGCCAACGATGCAGTGAAAACAATCACTGTTGGTAATCCTGCAGTTACTCATCCCCAGAACGAGTAACATACCCTGATGTTACTAACCCTACTAATGAGTACTGGGTGACTGTGAGAAGAGGAGGAACAGGGACCCACCAGAGGAAAAGACTTAATAAGCAAGGACACCAGGATAAGAGAACGAACCAGTCTGGCAGGGAACTGAATTAATGCGCTGTTAAAACCTGTGGCAATAAAAAGCCATGGCCATGACACCGGAGGAAGGCAACAACACTTTGAGATGCCTCAGAACCAGAAAACTAACATGAAACATTGTCTGAGGCATGAGAAAGAGAGATGTAAAATACTTACAACAGAGAGAGAGAGCTAAGGAAAAGCAGGAGTCAAAACACAAGAGTGTCAAGAGTAGGAAATGCGCTGTGAGAAGCCGACTTCCACCTCCCTCTTTACGCCTTTTATCTGACTTCAGGGAGAAGCTTTTGTTTCCAAGGCTGAGCTAGACCAGACAACCTGAAACAAACAACCTCAGCACTCGCCTGCACAAGCTAAAGGGCTACAACTAACTCACCCTGGTCCAACGTGGTGGCCACTTGCCTATTAAAAATTCCCCCAAAACTAAACAATAACCCCACCTTAAAAAAAAAAAAGCAGCACTCGAGTTAGTCTGTTAGACTCAGTTTTCCCTGTCAGCCTCTCAATCAGGAAAGCACTAACTAGATCTTAAACTACAGCCAAAAGATTCGTAAGTAATACAATCCAGGGAAATTCCCTACTCTCCCCATACAAATTATATGTTAATCACCTCCAAAACGTCATCTTACATACTTACATTGGCATTCTGTACCTGGTTTCAAACACAAGATAAATGGATCAGGAGTTTCTTGGGGGAAGACAAGAACATCTTTGGGTCAGTTCTGATGCTCTGAAATACACCGATTCCTCCCTCCAAAGACAACAAACGAGTCCACAAACACTGGGGGGATTCAAGGGCTTCTTCCAAATTGATTAACTAATAATTTCATAGCAATACCTTGAGGGAAACTCAATTTGCAGCCCTCGAGGCTTTTGTAAGTCGTGCAAAAACAAGACCAACAAGGAAGTAAGGTGTCTGGCCGGCTTCCTTCCCTGCCTGCCGCAGAGGAAGGTGGGCAGAGCTGCTGGGAGCCAGAGCCACCGCAAGGAACCACTCACCGCTCCACCTCCTGTGGTGCCACAGCCTGAAAGAACTGGGGGAACTGGACTGAGCTTCGCCCCTACATGTGAGAAGAGAGGAAAAGTCAGGATGACCAAGAGGTAGGCAGGAAAAGTGAAGATCCATGGAGGGGACCACTAGAAGGGGCTGCTGCCTTAGACCTTCAACACCCTAAGAGAGATGATGACTTGGATGGAGCAAGTCTACCAATGCACTTCTCAAAGATGGGGGAGCAGAGACAGGGACCACACGTACCAACAACAGGAATCCGAGTGTCTCAGGGGAGTGGGAAGGGGAACACACACTGAAAAATGTGAAAATATACACTGGTGCTGATTGTGTTGGAGTTATAGAATCACAGAATGGTTTGGGTTGGAAGGGACCTTAAAGATCATCCAGTCCCAACCGCCCTGCCAGCAGCAGGGACACCTTCCACTAGACCAGGTTGCTCAAAGCCTCATCCAGCCTGGCCTTCAACACTTCCAGGGAGGGGGCATCCACAACTTCCTTGGGCAACCTGTTCCAGTGTCTGACCAACCTCACAGTGAAGAACTTCTTCCTAATATCTCATCTAAACCTCCCCTCTTTCAGCTTAAAGCCATTTCCCCTTGTTTTGTCATTCAGAGCCTTCTCTTCTCCAGGGAGATCTTATAGCGGCCTTCCAATACCTGAAGGGGCTACAAGAAAGCTGGGGAGGGACTTTTCATAAGGGCAGTTAATGACAAAACAAGGGGAAATGGGTTTAAGCTGAAAGAGGGGAGGTTTAGTTGATAATGAAGGTTTTACACCGTTGTGGTGAAAAGAGATTGTCAAATCATGGGGGCTCCTGTGTGATACAACAACGCACATTTCTAGTGCTTAATTCTGCTCTGGCATCCACCCTTCCTTGAAAAGCACAGGTGAAGGAACACGTTAATAAAGCAGTTGTGCACTAAGAGAGAAGGGAAAACACCTTGTGCTCTAATCCAGCTTTGGTTTTTTGTCCAGTTTTGTTACAGAGTTTAATTTTTGTATAGCCCTGTAAGTATCATTTAGTTTTCTGCACCTCAGAGATGAGTATCTCTCTGCTTCATGTCACCGTGGCACAGCTGACTTGCACAGGAGACCCAGTACTACTGACACAAACACACCAACAAAAAAACCCCCAAGAAAATCAAAGCCATTCCTTGAAAACATTTACTTAAGTCTACAGGTTTTCAACAATAGTCAGTGCATTTCTTGTTCTTCCTGAACATGAGAGTTTAATTCACGAAACAATGGAAAACCAGGAAGTGTCGAGTTAAGGTCCCACCACGCATCTCTTATACGAGCGCTACTACAGCAAAAGCGTTAGCTGGCTAACTAGGAAATAAGATGAAATGGTATTTCCCCCACAATAAACCCTTAATGATGCTCCACAGAAATGACCAGAACAGGAGCTGTTAGAAGATGAGAAAGGGAAGTTGTGCTCCCCTTCAGAAGATGGGGAACTCTCAGTTAGTGTATCGGATCGCAGCCATTCTCCTCCTATCGCCAGGGTCACTCATTTTAAAAACAGACGAAGAAAAACTACTTCGCTTGTAACTAACTTCAGTTCACAGGTCTAAATAGCTGGTGCCAGACTTTCTTCAGCCTCTCAAGAGCACGTCGGTATCTATCTGGAGCACCTCTGCTGAGAGAGTTGGGGCTGTTCAGCCTGGAGAAGAGAAGGCTCCGGGGAGACCTTCTAGTGGCCTCCCAGTACCTGAAGGGGCTCCAGGAAGGCTGGGGAGGGACTTTGGCCAAGGGCAGCTGATGACAGAACAAGGGGTGATGGCTTGAAAGTGGCAGAGGGGAGATGGAGATGAGATGTGAGGAAGAAATTCTTCACTGTGAGGGTGGTGAGACAGTGTCCCAGGTTGTCCAGAGAAGTTGTGGCTGCTCCTCCCTGGAAGTGTTGAAGGCCAGGCTGGATGAGGCTTTGAGCAACCTGGTCTAGTGGAAGGTGTCCCTGCTGCTGGCAGGGGGGTTCGGACTGGATGAGCTTTAAGGTCCTTCCAACTCGAACCTGTCTGTGGTTCTAACAAGGTTGAGGAGAAGCAGAGGAGCACACAGCCTTCTTCAAACACTGACAGAGAATCAATCTCAGCTTCATGCCATGAACACAAACACGGAGTCAATTTTGTTTTGAAAGAAGCAAAAGCAACAACAGAGCCCAACACTTCTTGGTTGAGACAACTCTTCCCAGAGGATTTAGAAATCATCTGCCATTTGAAATGATACTGTCTGCAGCATCCCAGAAAGGTCCCAGCAGCACCCATGCACTCCCTGGCTTTAAGAGAAGTTATTTTGATATTTTTACAGCTAAAAAACCAATTTCATAGCAAGACACTGGTTTTCATAGCAAACCAAAAAGACAATTATAAAAGCCGTGCACTGACTGATCAAATCAGATGCCACTGTATGAAGGACAGAACACTTATTCTTTCCAGTATTCACCTAAACCCTGGCTGAAAGGACTGGAAAAGCAAGGAGAGACTGAGAAAAGACTGAATGGAAGGAAAAAAGCAGGAGGAATTACTGCTGACAGGTTTCTTATGGAAGGTATATCCACTGTTTCCAGGTTCAGACTGAAATATCTGCACACAATTTTATTAGCTGGCATGGAATAATACACCGTAGCTAACACAGGGCTAAATTTTGATCTAACTGGTACCTTTCTTTAAGAGTAAAAACACTTAAACCCACAACATGTTGCACTAATGAGCAAAAGCTCTGCTGCAAGAACTCTTGAGCAGAATGTATCAAAGAAACCAGATTTTTTTACCTGTTTTATCTCTGAAAAAACCCAAGCAGAGTTCCTGAAGTCATCAAAGAGGGAGATTAAGATTAGCAGGACTAACTATTTTTTACTGTGTCATTCACAAAGGATTATTCCTTTATGAGCTGTTCCAAGGAATAGAAATGAAATAAGAAATTAAATGAGAAATGAAATAATGAGTCCCATAAGTGTGACATTTAAACACGGCTTTAAGGACTTTCTGGGGGACATGCTTTTATTTTAGATGGTGGTTCTTAAACTGCTCCTTCCCTCGCTCCTCTGCTTTACTTCTTACTTTTCCACCTCTCAAACACGTGTATATTTGATGAAACTCCAGCAGTGGCTTCACAGGGATGTCTCCTTGCTATGGCTGTAGCCCTCAGCAGATTTGGCAGGGCTTTCTGAGAGCTCGACTGCATCTGCACGAGCAGTGGCTCAAGAGGAGAAAACCCCTGAAAAAAACCCTTAAAGGTAAATTGTGATCCTCATTCCTTCGGAGAGGCAAGTCCTGCACCACGCCACAAAAGCTTCTAGAGAAAACAGAGATGAAGTCAAGCTCAAAATTCCTTCTTGGTGAGATTTTAATAGTCCTTACAGGCCCCTGGGAAGAAGCCTGTTAAGATGAGGATGAAAGTTTTTCAAGTAGATAAACAGTATTGGGACTAGAAACAAATTGATCCGATTTTTTTTAGAATTAATATTAAAGCAAGCTTAATTTTGAACCGTAGGAGATCTGGCATGAAGTCTGAATATCAATAATATC